TGACACTTTAAGCCGATCTTTCTCTCTCTTTTGTATGTCGTAGTGCTGTATTTATACCATAGTAATCTGGTAGTGTTTGCTGTGCTTTGGCTTTTTTAGGGTTAATTGTTGTGATCTCTGAATTGCAAGAGAGAAATAATGGGAAATCTAGACTGATGGCATTTCAAACCATTCAGCCTTATAATCTTAAAATGTGAGCAAAACTGACCTGCTTTGTCATCACTCCAGACATTACACTAAAAAAATCATTCAAATACTAGCTCTAAAGTGACATTGGTGAAGTAGCAACAGTTTCTGCTGACATCAGCTGCAGATGTGAAAGAATGGTGGAAGAAAGTAGTTGCTCGTTCAAAAAGACTTTTGAGACTCTCCATGTTTGATTTTCGTTTTTATATACACAATTATGCCGTCGAACTGTTGTATAATATCACACTTGCAATATCATATTATGTAAGCAGATGCATATATATATATATAATATAAATGAGCAATATCACATGAGAAGCCGTGGGATATTTGTATATTGGCACTGGTGGGAGGCGTGCGTTGGCACGGGGCTTTTAATCTTGTGAAAAACATTTTTAGGCCAATTTTTTTAGCCCTCTTAAGCATTTTTTCCCGATTGTCTACAGAATAAACCACTGTTATACAACACACCTTGCCTAATTACCCTAACTTGCTTAGTCAACCTATAGTTAGCCTTTAAATAGCACTTTAGCTAAATACTAGTATCTTGAAAACATCAAATAAAATATTATGTACTGACATCATGGCAAAGATAAAATAAATCACAAATTTGTTATCAAAACTATTATGTTTAGAAATGTGTTGAAAAAAAAATTGAGGAATAAAATAAACAGTTGGGCTACTAATTTGCCCTAAAATGTAAATCAACTGATTTTAATTAAACGTTTCTTACATTTGCATTTATATTTAGTCATTTATCAGACACTTTTGACCAAACCGACTTACAAATGATAAACACATAAGCGACTCATCATACAAATGCTATTCACACAAGAAGTGCTACTTACTACTGGTACCGATATTGTTTAGAAAAATGTACTCAAGTGCTTGTGGAAGAGATGAGTTTTCAATAGCCGTTTGAATGTAAGCATGAATCAGAGTGAGATTGGGAAGATCGTGCCAACAACGAGAAACAGTTTTGGAAATGGTTCTGGAAGGTGATTTAGAGGCTGGAATAGTATCATGAGATAGTGCTCACTTACCGACAGAATACTCTGTAAGTGTCTTGTTATGTGCAATGTTTAAAGATTACTAAAATGGTAATTCAAGTTCATGGAAATTTGTTGTTTAACTGAAATGGGTAAATTGTATCTATATGCATATTCAAACTGTGTAACGTCTGTGAATACCGTTGAATGTAATATACAGTATTTGAAAAAAATAAATAAATTCAATATACGTACAAGGGAAATAAGAAGTGAAAAGGGAGCCCAACTGAAATCTGTGAGTGAATGTGGTCATTTATCAGCACTCCTGACACGCACTCAGGCTGAAACTCCTAAGAGTTTGACAAAAGATTCATCCAAGTGCATAATCTATTTTTTCCCACAATTTGCTGAGCAATGATCTGCTCTATTCAATATCCAATCTCCAGTTTGCTGTCTTATGCATGTCTTCACAAACAGCATTAATGCCCATACTGTAATAGTTAGTCAGCTGTTGGACTATCAATGTGATGTGTGTGTATGTGTGTGTGTGTGTGTGTGTGTGTGTGTCTGCATTATTATCTCATAACACTTACAAATATGACTAGTTTTACATACAGTATGTTTCCTATGTTTTGCACCTTTTCTGGCAAAACTGGGTTTATTGTAGCATTTCACACAAGGTCATTAAGTTTTAGTTTTAGTTATGTCATGTTTGCAAAATAATAGTTTTGCGTAAGTTGTAAATAAAATTTGTATAATCCGACAACAAAACATTAATGCTGCTCAGAAATGTTTATATTTGCCACTATTTTCAATATAATATATTATATAAAATTATTATATTATATTATATTATATTATATTATATTATATTATATTATATTATATTATATTACATTATATTATATTATATTATATTATATTATATTATATAGCAACGCGGTGGTAAAGTGGGTAGTGCTGTCGCCTCACAGCAAGAAGGCTACTGGTTCGAGCCTCGGCTGGGTCAGTTGGCATTTCTCTGTGGAGTTTGTATGTTCTTCTCGTGTTCGCGTTGGTTTTTTCTTGGGTGCTCCGGTTTCAAAAGTTTCAAAGTTTAAAGACATGTGCTATAGGTGAACTGGGTAAGAGTAAAATAGTCCATGCTGTATGTGTATGAATGAGTGTGTATGGGTGTTTCCCAGTTATGGGTTGCAGTTGGAAGGGCATCCGCTGCTTAAATGCACTGGATAAGTTGGCGGTTCATTCCGCTGTGGCGAACCCAGATTAATAAAGGGACTAAGCTGAAAAGAAAATGAATGAATGAATGAATTATATTATATTATATTATATTATATTATATTATATTATATTATATTATATTATATTATATTATATTATATTATATCATATTATATTATATTATATTATAGTAAAGCTAGGTGACACGGTTAGCACTGTCGCCTCACAGCAAGAGGGTTGCTAATTCGAGCCTCTGCTGGGTCAGTTGGCGTTTCTGTGTGGAGTTCTGTGCATGTTCTCCCCGTGTTGGCATGGGTTTTCTCCGAGTGCTCTGGTTCCCCCCCTCAGTCTAAAGACTTGCAGTACTGGGTTGCAGCTAGAAGGGCATCCATTGTGTAAAACATATGCTGGATAAGTTGCCGGTTCATTCCGTTGTGGCGACCCCAGATTAATAAAGGCACTAAGCCAAAGAAAATTGAATGAATATTGAAGCTAATAAAAACTAAATAAATACATTTAAAACAAAAATTATATATATATATATATATATATATATATATATATATATATATATATATATATATATATATATATATAATACAAAAAGTTAAAAAAGAAAAACAAAAATATACAAAATTTTGTTTGTAAGTAATTTTAGTTTGAAATAGTTTTTTCCTGAATCTTTCTGTTTCTAAAGATGTTTAGTATTTTAAATGAATAAAAAATATAAATATTCTATATATATATATATATATATATATATATATATATATATATATATATATATATATATATATATATATATATATATATATATATATTGTGTGTGTTTGTGTGCACGTGTTTTATTGTACGTGTGTTGATGAGTACACTGTAAAACCCAACATTTAGCTTAATCAAATGAAATGAGTGTAGTTGACTCAATTTACATAACGTTAATTCTACTCATTTGAAAACAGTTTTGAACTCAGTATTGAAGGTAGTTAATTTAATACCTCATTACTTCAACTTAAATGGATTAAGTTCACAGTACTCATTAGATTTTTTTTTTAAACTCAAATGTTTTGTATCTGTTTCCTTAAATGGTTTGAGTTGCCTAAACTTATTTGGTTTTACAGTACTCAGATGGTTTAAGTTCTCTTCAGTTATTGGGTTTTACCATGCTCAAATTGCTTCGTTTACTCAAATGGATTAAGTTCAGTTTACAGTACTCATAAGGATTAGTTTTTTAACTTAAATGGTTTGTTGCAATCAGTTTCCTCAAATGGTTTGAGTTACCTTAATTTATGGGTTTTACAGTGTATACATACATAGTTACAATTCTCATAGCAAAAGGTTTGCTGGTTTGAGCCCCGGCTGGGTCAGCTGGCATATCTTTGTGGAGTTTGCATGTTCTCACCATGTTGGCGTGAGTTTTCTCCAGTTGCTCTGGTTCCCCCACAGTCCATAGACATGCGGTACAGATAAATTAACTAAATTGGCCGTAGTGTGTATGTGTGTGAGAATGTGAGACTGCATGGGTGTTTCCCCGTGATGGGTTGCAGCTGGAAAGGCATCCTTTGTGTAAAACATATGCTGGATTCATTCTGCTGTGGCGACCCCTGTCGAAGGAAAATTAATGAGCAAATGATAATGCATATTATAATTATTGCGTTCAAGGTCATACTTTTAATCAATTTAAACTACAGTTATAATATAGTGGAGTATTACAAATTATCTTGTATTACAAAACAGATTAAATTCAATTTGTGTACTTAAATTTACGATGAGTATACTTAAAAAATTGCATTTGCATAAGCCCATCCTCAAGCCCACCTGCACGAAAACGTCGGTAGGGGAGAAGGTAAATAAATAAACGCAGTCGAAAAGATAAATCATCAACCTGCGCTGAGGCAGAAAAGAAAGAAAGAAAAGAGGGGAGACCTGGAGGTAAATGATGGATGGCCTCCGAGAGCGAGCTGAGAGTTTGATGACTTGGAGTTGCGGTACATAAAGCTCCTTCTTCTCCCTCAAGGCCTTCGTTTTATCACATTTTCATTTTACCTTTCCACCCGATCCTGAAGCCCTCTGTTATGGTGGGAGAAGACAGGGTAGCCTTCCTCCTAAAAAAACAACAAAAACGGGGTAGTCTTGAGGGGCTTCACATACTTCACATCTCTCTTGCTTCCCGCCTTATTATTAATTAGGTTTCCTTCTGCCACATCATTGCCTAAAACCAAACCCAGCTCTCACCAGTGAGAACGCGCGCGGCTCTCCTGTCTGCAGAAAGGAGGAGGAAAGAGAGAGACTTAAAGAAAAAGTGAAAGAGCAAGGCAGAGTCACAGATGTAAAGCAAAAGAAAGAGAGGGAGTGAGCTCGAACGGATAGGAAATGTGAGAAGAAAAAAAACGCGCTGAGTTTCTGTGCGCGGGCGCGAGTTTGTGCGTATGTCTGTGTGTGTGTGGATATGACAGCGTGCGCGGCCGGCCAATCAGCGTGCTCCTCCTGAGCTGCAGCAGGCTGGCAGATTTGGGAGCTCTAGCGGTTCTGTTCTGGACTGGATTGAGCTGCTGCACACATTACTCTCTTGGTGGCTTTAAAAATGTGGAGGAACATTTGGAGCGCACCGATGTATTCCAAAGCCTTGTCATCTTTTAAGGAGAGATTGAGAAGGTAAGAAGCACTCTCTCTGTGTGTGTTTTTTCTGTTTACTCATTACTCACTGCTGATTGAAGCTTAAGTGCTGCCTCTGTTTGTCTGGTTCGTGGTGAGGCGGAAAGTCTGAGAGTTGGTCTAGTGTGTACATGTGGTCGTAGACAAACAACGGAGCAGCGGGATGAGGGAAGGAAAGCAGCGTCTGTCCATTGATCTGCGCCTCTTTCATTACCCCGGCACTTTATCGTGGCCGCGTTCAATGCTTCAAAAGCTCCGTCTCACTTTCCAATGAACAAACAGCACAGCAAGTGAAGCTCTTGAAAAGCCCTTGTGTTTGATTCCCCTGTGCTTCTTGATTGGCATGAGAAAAAAAAACATCTCGCTTCCCTTTTTTCTTATTACAACATTATTGATGTATTTGTTTGTTTATGTTTTTGATTTTTTTATGCTTTACGAACAAATTCTTTTTAGCCTATATATAAATTTTTTAAACATTTTTAAACAAACCTCACTCTCTAAAACTCTTGATGGCGAGCTTGAATATAAAAAATTATTATAAAAGCATGTGTGTGCATGCATATATATATATATATATATATATATATATATATATAGATATATAGATAGATAGATAGATAGATAGATAGATAGATAGATAGATAGATAATTTTAAGAAGGCATTATTTGGAGTATTATTTGTTGACGTTTGTATTCATCTGACTGGTACTGAGGGTTGTATGATAACGATTAAGTTATTGGAGCAGGCTGTATCTGATGCATGGGGGAAGTTGTGGTGTGCTTGATCTAATGCTTCCATGCAGTGGACATGCCAAGGTGACAAACGCACATCAATGGATCCCTGGAGTCCCTCCCTCGATATTACTAATCATGTAGCAGGCAATCAGTCTCTGCATCACCTTCCCTTCATGCCGCTGGATTGAGTGCAAACGGCAGGGAGAGCTTTGAGGTTACAAAACCACTTCAGGTCTATAAAAAGGACTGCAATTTAGTGCTGAGAAGTGAATAAGACATGAGAAGTAGAGGGAAAAAATATTAAATTGAATAAAGTGGGCTGAATCAGCTACACTGGGGAAATTTTACCGCTTCATGTCTCGAAGGTTCTTTCTGTTGCGTGAGCTGACTTCAACATTGAAGGAGTATTTTGGGTTTAGTGCAAGGTAAGCTCAGTCCACAGCACTTCTGGTTTAATTTTGATTCCAAAAATATTCTGACATCTCTTGTTTTCTTTAAAGAAAAATAATAAATGAAACAAAACGTGCTGCTGTGAGGCACTTGAGAAGTAAATGGTCCAAAGAGCCAGTTTGATGGGAATTTAATAGGAAATTTGAAACTTTATGATTTTAGAACTTTATAAAAGGATTGTGTTATTAAGCTTTAAAACAGTTTTGTTCTTTTATATACTAATTTCAGATTGCTGTTTGTGTCTGTGTGGTTGTGTACATCATCTGTGAAAGTACTATAGCTACAGCATTTTTGTCCAATTGTTGCATTCGGGTTAATAATGCCTCACTGTCAGCCTATTCATTAGCATACTTCCACACAATGTGCTCACCAATGGAATGCCTATGCATATGTAAGACAAGCTTGAAACCTTTAGAAAAGAAAAATAATAATAACTGCTAAAACTAATACTCTGGCTTTAATGGTTTCCAGTTATGGAAACAAGCAGCTGTTTCTTTTTCTTTCTTTTTTTTTTTTAACAGATGTCAACAGAGGAAAGATTTTAGTACTGTGATGGCAGTCTGTTATAAATACATTGTTATGCATAGTAAAGGATGTAATGCAGCAAACCATAGACTTGCAGTTTAACAGAGCAAAATGTCAAGCATAAGTCTTACACTTTTACAGGATTCAAATTAAATATTGTTACAAGGATCAATCAAAAGACTGTCTAATGCCAATCATTAACAGTTACTTCTGTCTGTGTATTACAGCATCTATGAAACTGGCTAAAGTCAGATGTAATGCAGTACAAACGATACAAATATTAAAAGTAATATTATTATTCATAAATTATGAAACGCACACGTGATCACTCAAACTCAGCTCATCTCTGTTTTGCAGATAATCATACGTCATAAGTGTGTGGTTTCAGTGATTATAGGCAGACAGAAAGATTATTAGGCACCCAATGTGGTGTTTCTCTGAGTTCACAGTTTCATGATACAATTTTTCTTTGACGATCGTGAAAGCCCCCTCATAGTTGGCCACCTGTGCCTAGCAACAACATAGAAAGTAGAAACTATTACTACTACTATTACAAAAAAAAAGGCATGGAGTTATGCATTTAAGCGAAGGTTTAGTTTAAGCATACTGTACATATGCATACTGTACATACAAGTTTAAGGTGTACATATTATACCTAAGAAACACAAATGTGTTGGCTACTTCATGGTACATTATATGTACTAACACAGTGATTTTTGTAACTTTGTTTTTGAGCAGTTTGGTGCAAATAAATTGGCAAATAAATTTGCTTCGAGGAATTCTTGTTGGTTGTTGAGTGACATTATTTATATATATATATATATATATATATATATATATATATATATATATATATATATATATATATATATATATATATAATATTTAAATAGTAAAATTCATAATGAATGAATTATCCCAAATGAACAAATTATCCCAAATGATGTTTAACAGAGCAAGAAAATCTTCACAGTATTTCTGATATTTTTTTCTTCTGGACAAAGTCTTATTTGTTATATATATATATACATGTATAGACTACCATTTTAGTTTTTAGCTATAATTAAATATAAAAACCTTATTATTGCCATTTACGTTGCTGTTAACCTTTTGGGCCTATTGACTTCCATATTAAGTTTTTCATTGTGACCCAGATTTTTGCTTTGTCATATTACAGTTTACACAAATTGTGTGTTAACTGCTATTGATTGAGCTTAACTTGCACTGAACCGAATACATTTTCTGTTAATATTACCTCACAATACAGAATGACTCCAAGATTGGAATGACATGAATTTTCCATCAGTGGCATTTCTTTTGACTTGCATGTATAAAACCATTAATTCAAGCAATGAGTGGGATAGAGGAGCTGACAGGAATAAACATGGAAAAATGTCATTGTGAGAAGACGCCTCTCAGCCACTGTTCTATCCGCGCCTCACTCCATTCTAATTAGCATCCTAATTAGCTGCACTGGATTCTAATCAGTATTACAAATTTGTTTTGAAGACCTCGAGAAACCTGCTTGAATCAGTCGAGACCTTTATGCTCTTGAAGAGCAGAACAAGGGCAGGTGTTATCATTGGCTCCTAGACTGCTGCGATTTCAGATGTTGTTGGGTTTTATTCACATGTGCAACACCATTTATATTGTAACCTTTAACAAACCAAGGATGCAGTGTTTTGGCATTATGTGAATCTCAGCTCTATTGATTCTTTCAGTACTCTCCACAAAGTTTACAGATCCCCCAAATACACTTTTTAAAAATACTTAGAAATTGACCATTATACAAAAAGGTTACATGTGGAAAATTTCTGTAGACTAGGTCCAAAATAACAGATACATGCAGTTTGCATGACAAATTGAAATGATGAGAATTCAGCAGCTGAACTTCAACAACTGTCTGTTTTAACATAAACCACTGGAACAGCATGAAAGGAAAGGGAGCTGTCGCCTAGTATTAGTCAAAATGCACTCAAAAAGCAATTTCTTTTCAAGGCGGCACAATAAGCTTGAAAGAGCGAATAAAGGCTTTGCCCTCCCTCCCCTCTTGAAAAATCTTCAGCAAGACTCAGTAAATAAATTGCGTTTCTGATTGAGCAGATGGACATTATTCTGAATGAGAAGCTGGCATATTCATTTCCCTTCGAAACTACACTCAGGCCTCTGTTTTTATTAACATAGTCTGAAAAAAAAGTATTTTTGCTCTCTTTCTTCCGTATTTAGCCAGTAAATGCAATCCCATTCATATGTTTTCTTTTAAAAGCACAACTGGCTAACATGCCAATTTTTATAAGGAGTGCAAAATGAATAAAAAAAAACAATTTACATAATTTAAATTAATTTGTGTGTAATTAGCATACATTAATGAAACTGGGACTTGTACACTGGCTTTTCTGTATCGTTCTGAGACAGCAGTATCCAATCAAACATTTACCCTCTTGTTCCCAGTATTTGAGGTACACGGTGTCAAGCAAGATAAGTTTCCTTGTCTTAAAAATCTCAAGATTCAATCCAGTCTCTAGTGACAAACTCACTGCCCTGTAGCTTGAGGCCAATAGTCTGGTAATTCTTATCAGACCGGTGCTCTGAGTTGCGTCAACCCCTGTCAGTTCAGTCAGGCAGGTTCACATCAGTTACGTTGGTAATTAAATCATTGGTAAGCAATATTCAATTATGCAGGATACAATTAGTTGTCTCACTGACATTTAAATAATCTACTCAACAGATTAAACAAAAAAAAAAAAAAAACAGAGTAGTTTCTAAATCTTTTATATTTGATTTGATTACCAAAAATGTACCTATTAAAATTTAAGGCTCTGAATTAATTCAATATTGTTTATATCGAACAGTTGTTCATCCACAATCTTGGACTCATAGTCATCATGTATCTGGTAAGAAAAGGAAAATGGTCCAATAGTTTACTGCTATTGATTATTAGAAGTTTCTGCGTTCAAAAGCAACAGTACACAATTTTTAAACAGGTTTATGGTATCTATAAACTGCTTTGATTTAAGGTGTGCAATATTTCTTTTACTGCAGTTTATGAACGAAAGAGTAATCGCACCATAGCCATTGACTTTTGGCTATAGTGAGTTAATAGTTTCAGTTTTCAGTTTATAGTGAGTTAAGTCATTTCAGTGGAATGGAGAAACTATGTTTCCATATCATTTCATTTTAATTTAACCTTCTTTCAAGTATCAAAAGTCAAAACTCTGTTTTAGTATCTTTCATGTCTTTGACTGAAAAAAAAAATAAGAAAATTAAAATCTACTTCACCCAATTTCAAAATTAAGTCATTAATTAAATTACTAGCTAGCTTTACAATATTCAAGCTTTTGTCAACAAAAAAGTGATTTTCTTTTTCTTTTTTAAAGACATAATTGACACGACATTCTTTAAGCTGGTTGCTGATTTTCAGCATCATTTCTTTTTAATTTTTTCAGTAACATCTCTTGCTGTATCGAAAATTTAACTAGTATATTTTGAAAGTACTTTCAAAGTATTCAGACCCCCTTACATTTTTTACTTTGTTATATTGAAGCCATTTGCTAAAATGTTTCCTAAAATTGTTCCTAATGTACACAGTGCCACCAATATTGAGAGAAAAAACGGAATTGTTGACATTTTTGCAGATTCATTAAAAAGAAAAACTAAACTACCACATGGTTCTAAGTATTCAGACCCTTTGCTGTGACATTCATATATTTAACCTACTGTAGGTGCTGTCCATTTCTTCTGATCATCCTTGAGATGGTTCTGCACCTTAATTTGAGTTCAGCTTTGTTTGATTATACTAGTTGGACTTGATTAGGAAAGCCATACACCTGTCTATATAAGGCCATTGCAGCTCACAATGTATGTCAGAACATATGAGAATCATGAGGTCAAAGGAACTGCCCGTAGAACTCCGAGACAGAATTTTGGCAAGGCACAGATCTGGCCAAGGTTACTAAAACAATTCGGCTGCACTTAAGGTTCCTAAGAGCACAGTGGCCTTCATGATCCTTAAATGGAAGATGTTTGGGATGACCAGAACCCTTCCTAGAGCTGGCCATCCAGCCAAACTGACCTCTCAAGAACCCAAAAGATGACTGTGGCTGAGCTCCAGATATGCAGTCGGGAGATGGCAGAAAGCTGTAGAATGTCAACAATCACTGCAGCCCTCCACCAGTCGGGGCTTTTTGAAAGACTGGTCTGACACATGAAAGCCCACATGGAGTTTGTTAAGAAAACACACGTGAACACTAGAAAAACACTTAAAACACTTGAAGGACTCCAAGATAGAGATAAGTAAGATTCTATGGTCTGATAAGACTAAGATAGAACTTTTTGGCCTTACTTCCAAGTGCTATGTGTGAAGAAAACCAGCCTCTGCTCATCACCTATCCAATACAGTCTCAACAGTGAAGCATGGTGGTGACATGCTGTGGGGGTGTTTTTCACCTGCAGGGACAGTGGCTGTACAGGGATCTCTTTCTCTAGAGTGCACAGGACCTCAGACTGGGCTGAAGGTTTACACACAGCTAAAATAATGGAGTGTCTTCACAACAACTCCATGACTTTTCCTAAATGACCCAGTGAGAGCCCTGATTTAAAACCAATTAAGCATCTCTGGTGAGACCTAAAAACGGCTGCTCGCTAACGTTTACCAGCCAACCTGATGGATCTGGAGAGAGGAATTGCAGTGGATCCCCAAATACAAGTGATCCAGGTATGAAAAAACCTGTTGCATCTTTCCCAAAAAGACTAAGGCAGTATTAGATCAAAGAGGTGCTTTAACTAATACTTAGGACCATGTGATATTTCAGTTTTGTCTCTTTTAATAAATCTGCAAAAATGTCAAAAATTCTGTGTTTTTCTGTTAATATTGGGTGCTTTGTGTACTTTAATGAGTGAAAACAAAGAAATTGAAAAAACACTGAAAAAAAAAATATATGTTTTAGCCAAGCGCTGCAATATAACAAAGAGTGAAACATCTTTCTGACTATTTACCATTTCCATTGTACCAGTTACCTTTGACAGATGCATGGTCTTCGACATGACGAACCTGCTAATGACTTTCTCAAACTATTCCTTTGTAGTAACGCTATTTGTAAGAATAAAAAATAGAAATCTCCTCCTTGTGCGTTAGGGCCTTGGGGGTTTAAAATGATTCACTCGGCATGTTCATTATCTGATATATCTGTGGCTTTTTCATTGACATTATTTCACAACACTGAATTTTAATGCAATTCTTAAATAAACATGTTGCAGTTTCATCCATTAATTTAAGCCATTTCTATTTTTGCAATACCAAGGGTGTCGAATTCAGGTCCTTGAGGGCCACAGCTCTGCATGGTTTAGCTTAAACCCTAATTAAACACACCTGATCAAACTAATTGAGTCCTTCAGGCTTGTTTGAAACCTACAGGCAAGTGTGTTGAAGCAGGATTGTAATAAACTCTGCAGGGCTGCAGCCCCCCAGAGTTTGACACCCCTGGGCTATCTGAATTATTGACCTATGTGGGTTAATTAAAACACATTCAGACATTTTAAAATGCTGAATCTTAGCACCAATCAAAAAAAAAAAAAAAACAGTTGAGTTTAAGGAGGTTAATTTGCATTCACATGCCACACTGCCATCTTCACTCACAAACAAAAGTGAATTTCTCAGATATCTCAGTGTCAGTTTGTGTTGCACCATGCAATATTTATTCCGGTCATATAATGTTAGTCCCCCAGGACATGACTTCAGCATTACTGTCACTATTGGAAGCACATCTTGGAAATGAAATGTTCAGATGTAGCTAAGGTGACAGGAAATGCCCACCCTGCGGCATTTCCACTGTCATTTGTTTATTTGTTTAGGGCTTTTTTAGAATTCTGACATAGCCATTTCCATTAGTTCCGAGAAAGACCAACCCTAAAGCACTAGGTATTTCACTCAGCCATGTCAGTATCCCTCACTCCGTTGAGGAATGAAGTGTATGAGGGAGTTTCTCCCCAAGTGATGAATTTGAATTGACAGGATGGCTGAGGAGTCGAGAGCTCTCAGCTTCTTTACCGAGGTAACCAGGGACATGCATTGCACACCACTGATGCTGTTCAGCCTTTTGAATAGACTCACCACACTGGAGCTCTCATTACACGTCCCTTGCACCAGCAGTCATGATCCCTGATATTATACTGGAACAGCTGTTCCATCAAAAATGTATTAGATGTTTCACTGAATGGCAAACAGCAAGATCACATTGGGCTTTTAAGCCAATTTTCACATCTCAGATCTTCACAGGCAGCAGCTAATCTAAAATTTCTTTGGAATTAAAATGTAATCGCTGGCTGTGTTTCATTTTGCCCCAGTGAAAGTACAGTTTGTCCTCTTTCCTTCACACAGATGTTTTGTGGAAAACTGCCATCGCCTCAAGTGAGTTTTCAGTGGACGACGACGAGTCCCTTACGAATCAACACGTCTCGCTCTCGGCCCACGATGTGAGTGCTGCCCGCTGGGTCTCTGCGACAACAGGATTTTAAACCATGGCCATCTGCCAAGTCCTGCGAACTGGTTCGATTGGCATCTAGAGCCGCCCACCACAGGAGAGAGACCTCTGGGTGAGCGAGAGCAGGAGTTCAAACATTGCGACTCTTTAACATGAGAGCAGCCAGCAGCCCTGCCTGTCTGTCCCCTCTGCTGCTGTGCCTATGTGTGCTCCAGAGGAGCTATGGGACCCCTTCTCCACCCAGCCCCACATTCAGCCACAACCAGACCAAACTGCCCAACGGCGACAAGGACTCGCACCATCGCCCCAAGCGAGGTTGGATCTGGAATCAGTTTTTCGTTTTGGAAGAGCACATTGGGCCAGATGCCCAGTATGTGGGGAAGGTAAGAGCTTTTGTTGATTGTTTCGATCTGTGCTCAGGTGTGCTTAAACCATGCAGGCGAGCTGAGCTGCTGGGTCTCGTGTGGTTTGTTAAGTGAACTGTTCCTTGAAAGAGCACAGTTTTAACCAGAGACAATTGCTGCGCATCATGTTTTTGGATTGTAATTGAAATGCACCATGTCAGTGTGTTCCTGTAATGATATTTTCTTGGAAGCGAGTAAATAGTGCAGGTGACTAATCAGAAGCAAAATCCATGTTTCTCAGAACAGCATGTTTTTGTCAGAAAATTGATTTGGCTTGCAAATTGAACACTGACCTATGACATCCTTCCCCGTTAATAAGAACGTAATTTTTTGCCACTGTCGACTACAGCGAATGGAAGAGATCCAGATGTCTTTTCCCCCTCTGTTTAATCCATTGTCTTCATAGACAAGGTTTGAGACAGCTAACACATTGTTATGATAATCATTTGGAGCACCTTAAATTCTGCAACTCTGGACAAAATCCAGAGATCCCTCTGCGGCTTATAAACGTCAACAGTGGTACAATCAATTATTTTGCCCATTTCTTTCTGTGAAGACTGGCCAACCCTGTCAGCTAAGATGAAACCGCTGTGTTTCATGGGTTGGAATAATACAGGGTGACACTGACAGCTTCTGACATTGGCTCAGTGAGGTGAAGGTTAAAGTAAAGATAGCAGAGTTTATGAAGAAATGGCTGAGCAGCCATCAATTGTCTACACCTACATCCCTCAGGAACTGAGCCAAGTGTGTGTGTGAGTGTGTAATGGGTTTTACCTGTGGACAGGCTGCTTCAGATCTGCCCACTAGAGTGTAAATACACGTGTGCATGCATGTTAGGGATTTGAAATTAATCCACTTGCTTAAGAATTATTCCACTTGTTACCATTAGCATTTTCCTTTTTAAGAAATATATTTAGGAAGAAAAATGGCATTTCCATTTGATGATTTCAATAAAATTATATCAAGAATGGCTGTTTGTAGAGACAACATACCATTTGGACTTAGCTTTCAATAAAAACATTAAACAAACAAATGAGTGATATCAATCATTAATATTAACATTTTGATAGCAGATGTACAATCTTCCATTCTTGATGGAATGACCAGATATGCCAATATGTCTTCTAGACACAGTCCCAATTTTTTGTTGTTTTGTTGCAGATTGGAGCTGTTTGAATTAAGATATAAGAATAAACAAAACATATCATCCTCACTTTTGAACACATTGGCCCTTATCATACACCTGGCACAATAAGTGAATGGCACGATTTGTTGCTATTTTCAGACCAGCGCAAACTAATTTTAACATTTTGCACCATGTTGTTTAAATAGCAAATCCATTTGTGCCACTTTGTGGACTCATGGGTGTTCTGGTCTAAAAAGAAGGTGTGTTAAGGCGAATTGTTGGCGCATTGCTATTTTGAGAAACTGAAATAGACTGTGCCATTAACCAACTAAAAGCTGGTCTAAAGTATAGCACAGCAATTGCTCACACATTGCTTAATCCACACAGGATGTACAGCATTACAAAAATATCTTTACATATCAAAAAATGTAAGAAATTAAATGTTGCAAAAACTCTTATTTACTACATAAATATAAAACCACTACCTCTGCTTTCTTCATCTTCATCTAGGCATTTTTCCGTTTATGCATGACAATTCGCAGTTTTATTATGATGTTATTAATATTAGCAGTATTATTTATTATAGGTTTATTTAAATTTGTTTTAATAAAAACAAATTTAGATTTATCCACCTGTCGGGTTTTGGAGACGTATGCTTCACCATATGGGGCATATGAATAGGACATGTGTTTGAACATAACTCAGATTTTTCATCACACTTCATTATCATTGGTCATTTATTCATTTGCTATAAATTAGAACTGAATTTAGAAATAGTTTTGCAACAAATCTTTACGCTTGACAAACAAAATTATGAAATGATATAGATTAATAAATGTCTTCAGTGGAATGGAGTTTCCTTATCCACAAAAGTAAAGGAGTAAAGAGTAAAAGTAAAGTAAAAAGGCTGAATGGAGAAGGCTCTTTCTTTATCCTCCCTGCAGATTGTCTGTTTAACTGTTTTTTCCTACTAGTGAAGCATTCAGTTTTTCCACTTACAAAGTTGGCCATGTAAATAGTAAATGCACCATGAAGTGACACAACAGATTGTTAAGGGGAATGTGAGATAAGACGGATTGGTTTAATGCACATTATGCATACAAATAACTCATTAAGAGATTAAGCGCAACCCTTTTAGACCATGCGCCAGGGCACAGAGCATATTTTGGATTCGGACATGCCCTTAATGCTTTTGTGTCATACGCTTTAGACTTTGTGCCTAGATTGTCAAAATAGAACCCATAGATGCTCATAAATGAGATTTCAGTGCTATTTGTACTACTGAATTAGAAAATGTAGTCAGTATGCATGTTAGAAATCCGGTCACCGTATCCTAAGAGGTATTCATCTCGTCTAAAAATGGGCCAAATTTGTTTGTGCAAATAGATTTTTACAACTTGGTTATTTTTTAAAGTTAAGAGTCATCTAGCTGGTGTAAAATAATGACATTTAAAGTGTTTTATTAATCAAAATGCAGATTCAGTTAAATACAATGTAGGGCTTAATTCCTAAAGCCAGGGTTGATGTTATTATTCACATATTTGCGTTTTCTCTGTTGCTGGTTGGATTACTCTGCATTTCCAGTTATAAAATACATATAGTATATCACCGAGTAGGTCTTTAGATGTTTTAAGCCTTACTGTTTTTAGTGTGTTATTTTTTTGACACTTTTTTTGGTGTCCAGAGACCAAAATGTATTTTTAACATAAGGGTTTTTTAAACTTCTTGCTAGAAAGCAAACCATTGTGAGACCCCCTCTGAAGTCTGTCTGCCTGGGATGTACATCATTAATCTTGACCTGAGGCAAATCTTAAAGGCAGTGACTAATGCCTTTTTGACAGCTGACAGTTAACCAGAAATGCCTGAGCTGTCTAATAAAAAAACATGACATAGCTCTGCATTGAACTACAGTGAAAGCTTTTGATTCACTTGAAAGAACTGGCTCCTAGGAGAAAACTTTTTGGCCTACACTAGTCCTACTTTATAACTTTAGTATTTAAAAATCAGTTGAGTCAATTGAATGGAGTCATCATCAGAACTCTTGCTGCATCCGAACATAAGAACAGACCTGCTTGGCCCTATCTGGTATACTTTGACTGGACTGAATTGCAAAACATGAAGCAAAACAGGGCTCTTGTTCTTTCTGCTCACATGGGTGCCACTTAATTTTGTGCCGCTATGGTGTGACCTGTCTGTAAGAGATTTGAGTGAGCTGATTTTTTTTTCTTTCTCTCAGGTCTTCTTAAACTGCAGTGACAGAAATGGGTTGAGGCTCTCAGTAGCCTCCTACACTCTTCTGCACTCATTTTTTTTTTCACACCTTCTCCTGTCGGGTCCCTCCAGACCACCATATTTTCTACTCTCCACTTCAGTGGACAGACAAAAAGAGGTTTTGGGGGCCCAGACAGACCTGTTCTACTAAAACCATGCCTGTCCTCAAATATGTAGTGATAGGAACATAAACTGTCACTTCATGAGAAATTTCAGCGGGACTAAGTTTGGTGGCTTAGAAATAGAACATACACAAGTGACATTGGCTTAGAAAATCACAGTGATCAGAAATGTGCTTTGGCTAAAATCGATTTTGGACATTAGTATGTTGCTGTTCTATATTTCATTTTTAAAAAGCAGTATGGTATACTACTAAAAGCAAATGCATAATGTATGATTTTAAGGTTCCCTAATTATATATTGCATAACTTAACTAGGTTGACCATAACTAGGTCAAAGTTTTAGTTTTTTTTCTTTTTGGCTCCCTCCTTTTCCAGGGGAAGGATATAAAAAGGGATAAATGTGCATATTTGTTTTAAAAAATAATGAAATTATTTAAAATATAAAGTATATTTATAATTTTAGTCAAATTATCAGTAAATCATTTAAAGTATTCATTAATTAATTTTACTTTGGCTGAGTAATAGGAGTCGCCACAGCGGAATGAACTGCCAACTACTCTGGCATTTGTTTTACACAGTGGATGTCCTTTTAGCTGTGAACCAGCACCATGCTGGGAAACCATTTACAGTGTTGTAATCAACAAAGTACAATGGTACAAAGAAGCCTAACTATATGGTTACTGTAGTTATTTTTTCCATGAAAAAATAGACCTCTAAAGACGTACATTGTGCAGTAAGTTTTTTTATTTTTATTTATTTATTTTTTTTGTCTTCATTTTGTTTCATTTAAACCAGGAAGATGTGTGGTTTGCATTGGAGACCTCTGCATTTAAACTCAAACACTTTTTAGTGGATCTCACATTGCTGTTTAGTGTGTAAAATCCTGGTTGGCAAGTAAATGCGTTCTGTATAATTTTACACGCTTTGGTTCATAGATCAAAGAAGTGGCATAAGTAGCACCTTTGCAGTATTTAGGATTTAATATTTCTCATACAGTACATAACAGAAGGGTGGTGCTTATCAGTTGGGTAGCACCATCCGTGCACCTTCTACCAAAATATAGTCACAACAGCAAAAAAAAAAATAAATAAATGAATAAATAAAATTAAATCCTTGACCCTCTTTCATCACAGTCTAGAACTCTGTCTGTGAACATGTAGCAGGCTAAAATCAAAGTCCTCTTAAAATTAAAGCTTCGATTTAGAATATAGAATCTTCTTAAAAGAAATGCTTCACCCACAGCACATTAAAAGATGTTAAAGCAATGACTAAAGTGTTAGTTGCTAACACATACTATATTATTCATGATGACTGGCACAAATAATGCTCTACAGGAGAGAATATATGTAAATAATTATTTTGTTTGATTTGAATGAAGTCTGACTTCAGTGTGACATGAACCTCTGCAGTGTGGACACAGTGTGCTCTAGTCTAGAATAAATACATGGCAGCAGAGAACAGATCGACACAGTTCTTTGTTGTGAAGACACCATAGAGGAGATTAAGCCACACACAATATATGTCCTCTGCTTTATAAACAGCACTGATGAGGTGAATAATGGCATGCACCACAATTTTCAAACTTTACAACATAAAAATCTTGTTATAATTAACTCACCCCTCATACAGTTTAACACTCATAACAGCATGACTATACTGATGTAAACATTACTTTTTAAATGGGTTAAATCTTATAAAGTGATTTTTGCAAATAATTAGTTAGTTAGTAGTGTAACAATGTTGAAACTGAAATGTAAAAACTATAGACGCCAACCTCAGTATGTAGCTTTTTACTATCTTGGCATACTTTAGTCTTTCATTAATCTTTAGAATGCAGCAACTGTTCAATAAACCTGAGAGATTTCACAGAAGAAATACATACATATTATATACACACATAGTATACATATTGTTGATATGCAATTGTAGTATTGTAATAATCACTAAATTAGTTATTTATTGTATCTTGTAAATGCAAAATAAAAAAGTATACTAGGCATACATCAAAATTAACATACAATTTAATAAACAAAGCAAACAGAACTAATCTGGGTGTTGTGTTTTATTAATAAATGGAAGAAACATTAATCACTTATTTCTGGCTCAGACAGAATATTTACATTGCTTCATAGCATTGGGATTAACCCACATAAATAGCATTATGTTTAAACGTGACCAATAAAGAAAATCTAGGTATAATAATTGTCGAATTAGTCAAATAATAAGAGATTAGTACATGGAAATGGTCAAACAGTGAGCCTCAAACACCATTGTTTCCTTTTTCTCATGTCATTTCCACGAGTGTAAAACCCTGGTGAAAAACAAGCCAATCAGAACAACACAATACACACTTATGTGTTGCACTCAGGGCACACCCTCCAGATTTGCATGTTCCTTAGGTCACATTTAGGTTACGAGCAGCTGTATCATTAGGAGATCATCAGCAAAACCCGTTAACACTTTACAATAAGGTTCATTCGTTAATTT